ATGCATGCTAAATTACTAAACTATCATGAGTGGTTTTATAGTGTTTGATCAGCGTTGCATGTTGGCTGGTGTGCTCGAGCTGCAGTGAATAGGGAGTGGAGAGAGAAGCACTTAGATCTGCACATTCTAAGAAAAGCAACGATGTACAGTCACATCTAAGACCTTTTAAGCCAGGAAGGGTGTACAGTCCTGGAAAAAAAAGCTTCTAAGTATTCAACTTTTGATACACACAACTGATTTTTTAGGGTTTAAATCAACAACTTTAAGGACTTCCTGACTTTAACAAAGTCTGAAATGTATAAAACTAAATAACAACTCCTTGTGAGCGCAGTAAATAAAGGATTCATCCGTCCAGTGAGGAATTTCACACAGCCCTCACAAAGTTATTCAGGTAAAACAAACACGACGGCTGTAGCTGCCTCTCGGTCGCCTCACCTGTCTCAATGGAGCCGATGAAGCCGATTACAAATCCAGCTGTGTGGTACAGAGGCAGGTTGACGTAGATGACATCATTGGAAGTGACACCGTTTGAAGACAGAACGACCAGAGCTGCTAGCAGGCGGTTCTGGTTGATCACAGCTGCCTTAGGAAGACCTGAAATACAAAACACACAGTCCAGAGGGAGGCCTTCCACATGTTGTTGTTGTTGTTGTTGTTGTTGCAATTGAAGAAATTAACACAACCACACGATACCTGTAGTTCCAGAAGTGTAGATATATACCGCAGGACTTTTGAATGTCATGTGTGATCTGAGGGATCGAGGCAGCGGGGCGTCAGACGCCTCGTCCACTTTGTCGGAGAATCCCTCGATTCCAGGCGTGTCGCAGTGTTTGGTCATCAGAAGGACGGTGACACCTTGATCCATCAGCGAGGGCAGCACATCCTCCACCGCTTCCTTCAGCTCTGGACAAGGACATTGAGCACATTCAGAACTGTTAGATGCAAGCTTTAGGTTAATTATAAAGATAGGATAAGACAAGATAAGACACAACTTTCTTAAACCTATTCAGGACTTTTGGGGTCTTTTGAACCTCAGCCCATTTGGTTTAGGTGACAGGTATTGTTTTTTTATTTTTTAAGATTTTTTTTAAAAAAAAAAAAAAGCAAAATTGGCAAGCAATTGGAAACAAAAAAAACGCAAATTAAAAAAATGAATTAAAAAAAGAAAAAAAGCCAAAAAGAAAAACAAAAAAAAATTTGCAAAAAACCCTTCCTGGGAGCCAAAGGAACCCCAAAAAACCTCCAACAAAGAAAAAAAGAAAAGCCCGAAAAAGGGTAAAAACAAAAGAAAATAAGCAGCCTAGATATTGCTCAGAAAACAAAACTGCACAAGAATAAATGCAGTGCTTAGTTTGTTGAGCAATAAGATAGAAGTACAATACATGACTGAAAAAGGCAGCAAAAATAAGAAGAAAAGTAAAGTGGCAAAGATTCTGAGGTAGTAAAGTAATATTGCATGTAACAATGAATTATTGCACACGAAATTGAAATACTGCATCCCAAAACATGAAGTGTCGCACATGGAATTGGTATATTACATCTGAAACTGAAACATCGCAGCTGAAAAATGAAACATTGCACATAGAAATAGGTGTTTTGCCCCTTGAAATGGACATTACACATAATACTGACATTGATATTACACAAACTATTGAGAAAAGTAATATATTGCCTTGAAATAATCATAATGTTGTTCAGATTTATAGGTTGTTGTAGGAAATGCAGTTTCGATTCAAGTCGAAGTTGAATTTTAGGATCTGCACAGTATAATGAGGAGGAAACATCATGCAGGTCTGGCTGCCTGCTTAAACTTGAAAACAGACTTTCCAGGAAGCGCACAGCTGCATACCTGCGGCTGCTACCAGCACCTTGGCCTTGCAGCAGTTGAAGCAGTGCAGCAGAGACTTGGTGCGGATGTTGTGGTTGAGCAGAGCCACGGGAGAGCCCAGTTTAGCCAGGGCCAGCCAGGTGAACATGAAGGCGGGTTCATTGCCCGTGAAGAGAGCCACGGTGTCCCCAGCCTCATAGCCGGGGTGACTCTGGAGCGCGTTGGCGATCTTGTTGCTCCTCTTATCCGCGTCAGAGAACGAGTGTCTGTCATTCTCAAACACAATGAAGTGTTTGTCCGGATGCGCAGCTGTTTGCTCCAAGAAACGATCTAAAACAGAAAACAAAGGTTTCCTCCTTCGCCTCGCAACGAACTTCACCACGATGCTCATTAAATCCCCGAAATACACAACATCCATCCAGACGTAAGGGAAGAAAGTTTTGAGTAGAAATGGAACTATGAGCACACTTGCAAAAATAACAGAAATTACAAACACCTCCATCATGATGTCTCGTTTAAAAGCCTGCGCAGCCCCTTCTGCAAAATGGGGAATGTTGCAAATAAGGTTTTTTTCTCTCTTTTTTTGTGCTCAGTGGGGCGGAGCATTTACTTCTAAGTATGTGAAGTTCGAGGAAAATATTTGACCAATGTGGGGTGCTGATGATTGGAAGCAAGAGAGACAAACTTGAACCAATCCAGGCTTTTGGAGAAGTTAAAGCATGCAGAGAAAATAGGACAGCCATAACTGTCACACTTGGTCAGTCAGGCTCAGATGGAAGGAGGTTCTGCTACTTGAGGTTTTAAGTTGTAAACAAAACTCTGCAGCTCCTCTGCTGGGGTCATCTGGGGCCAACTGGTCGGTCATTCAAATAGCAAAGTTCAACAGTTTCGCTTGGCAAAAATACTGGCTGGAATCTGACTGATCGCTATAAGTCATGGAGTAGAAGTCTCCTTTAGTTTGGCTGCTTAGTTCAGGCCTCCTCTAAAAGACTCCACATGACAAATCTGTGGAGTTCTGCTGCACAAACCTGTATTTTTATTTTATTTATTTTTTATCAGTGTTTTGTCTAATCTAATAGATGATCTTACCTCTTTTGGCCTCCAACAGCTATTTAAATGAAGCCTTTCAGGTATGTTACATCTGAAAAGTGACAGAACGCCTGGTTTCAGCTACAACATTGCACATTATGAGTTTATCACATGATTTTTAATGTAAATTCTCAATCTGATTCATGACTAACCGTCAAATGAATGCAACAGACTACAAAAAACACAGTATTTCACTCCGAAGCGATGTGGAGTAAAAGCGTAAAGTGGCATATTAACATACATACACCTCAAAGTTGTACTTAAGTACAGGAGGTTTGTGTAAATACCCTAGTGAGGATTAAGCGGTGTATAGATAATGGATGGATGGATGGGTTTGTGTAAATATTCTGAGTTACTTGCTGCCAGTGTTAAAGTGAGCAGCATGTTTGGATTATGGATTAGAAAATCCTGACATAAATACAGACTATGCACAAGCTCAAACACAAACAGAGACACACAAATGTGAAAGAAAAAATAAAGAAATAAAACTTACTTCTTGGTAGTACCAGAACTGTAAAATTGCCAAGAAGATCTGCTCTCTGAACATTCTTTTCAAGCATTTTGAAATTCCTGCAGGTGGCACTCTTTTCTTTTGCTTGCACTCCACTTTTAGTCTTCATCAGCAAACAGTTGTTGCTGATGAAGCCAATGACTTTCTATTTTCAACATCCTTTTCAATGTTGTAAAAATAAAACAGGTTTGAGGCTATTCCGTTCCTTTTTTTCGCAATAAAAAGCAGGAAATCTGAATTAAAACTTCTAATAATTTCCTATTCAGCTGCATTGCGATGATTCATAAACATGGGAACACGAGTAAAGTTTAAAAGCTGAAAGGAATTTTGTTTTGTTTGTATCACAGAAGATACTGAAAGGAGGGAAAAACATGTTCTGCATGCTAAAGCAAGGAAATAGTTATTTTTTGAGTATTTTCTGCACGTGACAGTGAGCATATCAGGTTCAGTATCCACACATGCCTGTTGACAGCACGTAAATGAGTACAGTTTGGCATAACTTGTGATTTTCTGCTGTCTTAGTTAACAAAAATAGCTTAATGATTTGTTCAAAGTGTCAGTGTTAGCTATAAGTTGAAGACATTCAGCCACTGCTCAGTTAGTCCAACCACAGTCGACAACAAACTTTGTTTTCTCAGTTTGATGGACTTTGAAGGATCGATCCTATATTTGCTGCACAATCTTGAATTCCAATATCTAAACTGTTGTTATCGCCACTTGAGTGGCAGGGTTAATGCTGACTAAGATTTTTAAAGCGGCTATTTAAAAAAAAAAAAAAAAGACACACAAAAGGACTCCAGGATGCATCTTTACTTCACAAAGCTGACCCAGAAAACTGACATTTATACACGTAGTCAAAAGGTAAAACGAGGACAGGGTATGTTCAGTTTGACATAAGGGCTCGGATGTCCAAGAAAACAATGGAGCGACTGGAATCAACCTTTCAACACCAGTAAAACAAGAAATATAACCTCTTCATTCGCATGCAGTGGTCACCTGTTTGTCACTTTGAGGTACTTAATATTCAGTTGTGACCTTTTTATAACCATTTAAAATGCATCCAAACAAATAGCATTCCAAAAAACATCAAATCAGATCAACTAAAAAGCATTCACGGTGAAAGAGATTTGAAAATGGCAAAGGAGTTGCTTTTTATGACTTGAAATCTGATCATCTTTCCCATTTGCATTGAGTTAAATCAGTATTTTCATATTTATATTGTGTGAAATTGACACTGCTGCAGCTTTTTTAGCACAATATGTTTGCTTTTATGCACTATTAAAATCATCAACATGCTTATTTGTCTAAACATTGATGAGAAATTGGCCACCGGTTGCATGTCAGTCCAGTAAATCTAGAACTTCAACAAGTAGCTGGTTAGTTGAGTAGCAGATTGGAAACAAATGGGCAAACCAACGAACCTGGCTCAGTCCAGTGGTAGTCAGAGAAATCTACCTGCTAAGTAACTTATAAACACATGCAGTCTGGTTGGTTTAGTTTGCATCAAAAGCAAAGCGTAAAAAGGAATCAGTGTTTTTGTGCTGAACTATTTCTCCCTTCAAGTCTTGTCATTGTTGAAAGGCAGCCAGCAGAGACTCTAGGAAGCCTCTGCACTGTGAACCTCAGGTTTGTGTTTGATCAGATGTTCTTCTGCCCCAAGAATTCACAAATACAGCTTGAAATCCAAATAAAAATAAATACTCCTAGATTCCATAAAGAAAAAAAAATTCTCCTGGTGACTGTTGGACTCGGAGATGATGCTGCAGGGATCTGAAGGCATCCTCGGCGCGTCGTCCTTTGAACCTTGGGCATCGGCCAGAGATTATTTCTCTCTCTCCCTCTCTCTCTCTTTTTTTTTTGAGGACGAGGTAATACCAGGGGTCACTGAGGTCTGCGGGTTGTGAAACTCTTGTGAGCACAGTTCAGAGAAGCATGTGGTGTCACAGCCTGCACAAGGCGGCTGCTTTTTCATGTATTCCTGTGGTTGTGTGAATGTTTGGTGGTGTTACAAAATCATTATTAACACACTGATACTGTACAGGCCTTACTGTAATGTTTTATTACAGTGGATTCAGAACCTAATCACAGATAGCAGCATATTTAAAAAAAAATACTTATTTTAAATACATTTTACTGTTTTTTTTTGTGATCAGCACAATACATACTAATATGAGAGCATTGAAAATTACCCTTTTTACTTAATCTTAATTCTAAATAGCTGATTAAATACATGCAGTCACTAAATAGCTCAGTTTTCCTTATTGTGCAGAAGCAAATTCCGTTAAATTCACTAAACTGAGCTTCTGATAAATGCATTTTCTAGCAGTTTTTTGTGAACAGCACATTAAATATTAATAAGACAGCTTTAAAAATTGTCTTTATTACATAATCTTGATTCTAAACAGCTGATTAAAAACATGTAATCACTAAATAGCTCAGTTTTCCGTTTTGTGCACCAGCAAATTCGGTTCAATGAAGTGATTTTGCAACGCCAACATATCTGCCGTAAAGTTATAAAAAACAATAAATTGTCGCAAAAAGTGAAAGTCGCCGCTTTGAAAAGAGGGACAAATCATCAGTTCAGAGGATTCCTGACGAATTTTCTGGTCTTCTCCTCCTTGGAAACTTGTAACGCTACTAGCCCAGTTGATAAGAATTTGCTGGCGTAAGGGATTGTGTTTCAGAAATGCTTTTTCCTCAAGTCACGTTGCCCCACAACATGAAGGCGACCAATGATCTCGGAGGCACGTAGGCCCGCCGCTATAAAGTTGGCCCCCGGGTTGAGGCGTCTTCATTCATGAGCACACTGACAGTCTGCGGATCCTGCGCCGCCGCTTGATTCTCACTGAAACACTCACTATTACAGCGGACAATGCTGCGAGTCAGATGTCTGAGAGGAGGTAGCAGAGGGGCCGAGGCTGCCCATCTGATCGGAGCCATGGTTGGTATTTGGGTGGTTTTAATGTCTTATGCTTCTTTCTTTCTTTCTTTCTTTCTTTCTTTCTTTCTTTCTTTCTTCTTTTCTTTTCTTCTTCTTCTTTTCAGAATTGCAGAGATTTTTTTTGGTGTTTAAAAAAAAAAAGCAACAAAAAACAACACATGTCAGTCAATAAAGAAATTCTGTGTCTTCACTATAGGCTACATCTGAGCTGCCTCTATTTGCTTGGGATCAGTTTTAATTGATTTTGCATGTTGGTTTGTGGAAATACAAAAATCAACAACAACAACAAAACAAAAGCAAAAAAGAAAAAGAAAAAAGAAAAAAGGTGTAATCACCTCAAAGAAAACTGGGTCCAAGAATGGATTTGATTTTTTGAACTGCAAAGAGAGCTTTTTTTTTCTTCGTCGTCGTCTTCTTCTTCTCCTTTGGTTGCTGAGTGACAGCGAACAGCTGTTTGGCACAGATGCGCTCTCAAACTCAGTGACACTGAAGCTGGTGCTGGGCCAGCAGGGGCCACACTGCAGCCTATCTGTGCAGATAAGGCTTCTTAATAACACGTGTACTTTGGCACCAAACCAACCTAACTCTACTGAAGGCATTTCTCACTGGAATCTTATCACTTTACAACGCTTGTGCCAACTCATTTATTTGACTGTATCACTTCTTCACTTCATTTTTTTTGCAAACTCACACAAAAAATTAACATACAGCTATTTTTGGTCACTATTAATATGTATGCAGTGCATTTTTGATCCTTACATGCTATCAAAGCTGAAGATTTGGTCGGTTTTGCACAAAAGCTGAAATTTTCTTGCCATTTTTTCTGTCGCTGAATGTTTCTTTAAGAGTCACGCTGTGCTTTCTCCCTCCCCAGCTCGGCCGATCACTCACTGGGTGGGTGCAGAGGGCCTTCCAGAGCACTTCGAGTGCAGCAGCTGCACAGCCACAACATGCAGTTGAGGACGAACACGTTACTGAACCTGTTCACCAGGAATGCCCCGTCTGCAGCTACAATGAGTGGGACCTCCTGGAGGAGGTGATCGTGGGTCGAGCCGAAAATGCCCAGGTGCCTCCC